CGCATCAGCCCGCTCCTCCTCCTGTTCCCGGAAAAGCCCTTCTCGGGCGTCAAACTTCCAGTGCACGCCGGACAGATACTTCAACTTGATATAAAGCCCTTCCGTGATATCCACCCCAAGTTCTCGAACAATATCCACCTCCATCGTACGGTCAAAGTGCGCTTTGATGCGCTTGAGCGGACAGTCCGTGGCCATCCGCGCCCGGATCAAGTCCAAGAGCGAGCTGTCCCCAAAGTGGCAGTTGGGGAGTTCGATGTGTGTCAACGCAGGGCATAGGGTGCCCTTTGGAGTCGGGTGGAGGGCATCGATGAACGTCTCCTCGACCCCGAGGCCCGGTGCTTGGATGCACGAGAGGCGGGGAAGAAGGTGCAAAAGGGCGGCGGGCCCGTCGTTCGGAAAGTAGCAACTGTACATGAGCTCCAGGGTCAACTCGTGCGCGGAGCGCTCGACAGCGCGCAACGACCGGCATGGGCCATTGCCGCCGACGCCCAGATACCGCAGTGCCGGGATCTCAAGACACTGTATGAGTTTGACGGAGTCGAAGTTCTGGAAGAGCACTAGCGCCTTCAAATGGGGAAGCGCGATCGGAGGGCCGGCGACAAATGGGACGGAGGAGTTTGTCGTGCGTAAAGAGCAGCGAACCAGGTTCGGGCACCTGCGCAGGACCTCCTGGGCGCCATTCAGGCTTAGCCCTCCTCGCGTGTCGTGTGGGGAAACCATTTGAATAAAGCATTCAAGATTGAGGTCCGTGAGCTGCGACCACAGAAGGGGAAGCGTAAGTGCTTCGGCTTGTGCCCTCAGTGATATTTGGGAGAGATTGGGTGCATGGAGTGCGGGGACCCCGTCCCAAAATGTCAAAGGCTCATCTGAGCCGCGGGTGTCAATAATAATGCTCCGAAGATATGGGAGATCTTCCCCGCGAGTGAGAAGAAGCGGTCGTACGTCGAGGATCTTGCCGTTGATGCGGAGGTGTTGTAGACGGCGAGATGCGCCGATTACGCGGTTTATGGAGCCAGGCGTACGAAAGTGGTGTTCTGATCTACGTGTGAGGGAAATTGAGAGAGGGCAGGCGCCAGAGCGATCCAACCATGCTCCCACCGCGTTCTCGAGCTTGCTCTCGACGCTCCGTGTCATTTCCCAATTCAACGGAGGCGTCCCGGACGGGATGTGGAGCGAGCTCCAGATTCGCGGAGTCGAATATGCGACGTTGCGCCATTGCCTGCAGATTCGGCCAAGAAGCAGCGGGGCCTCGTCCGGATCAAGGAGGGCGTTGTGCGCTGTCGGGAGGCAGGCGACAAAGATCTCTCCGAGGACGTCCTGGGGGATCCGGCGCAAGGGCGCCATGAGCGCTTGGTGTGCGTCGATCGCGGCTTTCAGCGCGCAGCGTGTCACTTTGAGCTGAAGGATGGAGGCTTCCATTTCATTGAGCTGAGTGTCGAGGCGAGCCAGCTCGTTCATGGGCTCCGCAAGCAGATCAAGCAACTGGGCCATTTCACGATGAGACGGGACATAGTTCGTATTGAGTTTGTCAGCGAAGGAGGAATCAGGGAACATCATGCAGGACGATGGATTAGTGGGTCACGGCGTGGCAGTGGCAAAAAGATGGCTTACGTAATACGAAGCGCAAGTGACGTTCAGCAAACCGTGATCCTACACGTGATCCACATCCAACCAAATACGACCATACGCGTCTGCAGAGGTCGGATAACCACGTCCGAATTAGCACCGACTGTTTATTTCGTCTTTTGAAAATGAAGTATGATGCGAAATCAAGCTTGTTGAAGGGGCCGGACTAAATGTGGATTCAAGAAGTCTCTAAGGTCGTGCAATCGTTCGGCAACGTCTAATGTGTTCACCTTCTGAAGTGCTTTCTTAGGAAACCGGTTAATTTACCTGTTCCGTGCTTCAACAAGTTTGCCACAGTCGGCTGTCCCGGATGTGCCACATTCTCATTTAATGAACAGTACTGCTCGACCAGAGAATTACTACCGCTACACGGATTTTATCCTCGGAACCGCGGTAGGTAAGGAACCTAGCTGTTTACGCAAGAAAAGGATTTGACATTGCTTAGGCCCAAAGAACTCAAGTCCAAAGTGACCGAAGGCTCGGCAATGGAGGCCGAGTCCCCAGCGCAGTCGGGATCTCTGTAACCAGGTCAGATCGTATCGTATTCATGAACACGAACATGTAGACCCACTCGAAGAGAGTGCATTGAGTGCCAGTGGTGGTCAGAGAAACACTTGTGAATGATTGGCTGAACCGCCGAACATTTGCGCATCCGTCAGTGACAGTAGTCGCTTGGAAACAATCCTGCGTGGTCGAAGGGAAGCACAAGTTGATGGTATCGACATCAGATGTGCATATGAAAGATGCCACGGTGCTGAGACCCAAGGTACTCAGGTCGACAGTGCCTGCCGAGTTGAACAGAATACCCGACCCGCCAGTGTTACCAACACAACCACGATCTCTGTTAAGAGGTCAGGTTGGTCCAATGATATACCAAGTACTTACGGCGAGAGAATGCATTCAAGTCCAGGGGCGGACAGCGAGGCGGTCTCAAACGATTCACTGAACAAGGGAAGATCAACACATCCGTCAGGGACAGCGCTCGCTTGGAAGCAGCTGCCATCTTGGAAACAGAAGGTTGCGAGGTCGTCATCCCGAGGAAGCTGTGAGAGTGTGTTAATGGACCAGAGACACAACGAGGACGGAAGGTCTGACAATGGTAGGTCCAGCAGTAACCAATGCCGCCAGGAAGAGGGTAAGGAATGTGTTTTTGAAGAGCATTGGTGCCGGTTCTGGAATCTGGGTGTGGAAGTTTTCAGGATTCTGGGAGAATTTGCTGGCTCGATGCCCAGCTTTATATGTTCCATACCCGAGTGATTCCCGAGGAATCCTTCCATCCAATCAAATCCACAGTTTCGGACCTCAGTACGTCGCGTAAATCATCTCATCACCGCCTGTCACTTCTCGTTCCTTCCTACGAGTGGAAGAAAAACCCCTTTTACTGACCATCCACGATCTTCTAACGCTCAATTAGTAATCTTCTTTTTTCCTGTTCTCAAGCGATTGAAGCATCAAGGGCGGAAGCCATACGTCTTCCGCAGCTGGAGCGACTTCGTGTGTCGTATGTTCTTCGATGGGGATCCAGAGGCCATCCAGAGTCTACAATCTCGGGAAACCATTGATTGCAACAGGTCAGCCTGTTATCCGATTCGACAGCGCTATTGACTTTGAGTCAGCCAACGCTCCGGTGAGAAGGGGTAAAAGCGTATTGAAACAGGTTTCGTAATCAGACAAACATAAGAACGAGAGGAGGGCGTTTAAGTGTAGTTCAAGAATAGCACACATACACTACAGCGTGAAAATAAATTCCGCGCGACAAAGGGTGCATTATAAAATTTGTACCGGCTCTCTGCGTCCCATGCAGAAAAGAAAGCGACAGTCATGGTTATGGGATACAACTCAGCGCCTTGAAGTTTTCAGCATGGCACAGCTCCCACGTGTTGTCCACCTTCCGCCAAGCACGCGAATCTAAAGAACGTAAGCTTCAACTATTGGGCAATAGATCTGAGCGTACAGAAGCGACAAGCCTCTAATGTCGGACAAACGTCCCCAAACCCTTGAACTATGAGCTGTTCTCCCGCTTCAGTGTCCCCGAGAAACTGGCTATCGATCGTGAGCACGTATTCAATGGAGAGATATGCTAAGCCCGTGAAACGCGAGAGGGAAGTTCTGAGATTATCTAGCGTGCCCTGTGCGCGAGTGAGCATGTGCAGAAGCGAAAGATAAAGGCCAGAGGCATACGCGGAGTGAGTGCAGTTGGTACAGTCGCAGATGGAGCGTCTTAATGTGCGGTATGTTCTTCGAAATGGAGTCCACAATATCCGAAAATGGGATGGGTGCAAAGACATCGTTGGAACACACGAATGGCTCGTTGGGGCGTGTCATTGACTTTAGTGCTGAGATCGTGCACTCGATGTTGTCTACATCCCAGTAGAGCCTAGCCTCTTTCAAATTGGATGCAGCAATGGAAGGAACGAATTTGATAGGGCAGGAAAGGTGCTTGAGATGCTGAAGTGGAATTCGAGGCGACACCGAGGGTGAGGATTCCCGCACAATCCAGTCCTGAATACGTAACTTTGTCAATGCTGGATGGCGAGTGAGGAAGGAAGCGAGCGTGTCTTCCCGCTCTGTGGAATTCCAATGCCGCTCCTTGGTGCCCAAACTGCACTGGACCAGATGGGGAAACGTGCAAGCCAATAATTCTCGAAGATGCCCGTCTTGTAAGAGCATCAGGTCGATCGACAAAATCTCGACTCGCAAGAGGCTTTTTGACGAATCAGCCAGTAGCCGACTCAGTCTGTTGTGAACCATGGCGTCGATTGAAGAGTAAATCTTGACCGATGACTCACCTTGATGCAGTGATAGGAAAGCACGAGGAGGCCACTGTAAGCGACCGTACTAGGGCTGCAAGGGCAGAATTTGAGATAATGGCAGAACAGAACGCCACCGCGGACGCATGCGTTTCGAGGCGCACGACGCCGTACAGAACAGGAAGACAGAGGGCGTGAAACAATTGGGAGACGCGGCAGAGCGAAGCTCGATCCGTTTGGAGTGCAGCTACGATTATCTCCGTGATAATTTCGTTGGGAAGCCCTCTGTATATGGCCGTGGATACTCGAAGAGTCAAGACCATGGTGGAGGTTGTGTGCAAGCTGCGGTTCCGTGTGGGATCGGATCAGTCACCCCGCGATCCGGCTCGGCAAACTCAAAAAACCCCATAACCCAATTATAAATTAGTTCCACCCTGCTAAAACTGTCCTTCATAGGGCAGGAGAAGGTTCAAGTCAACTCCGCCTCCGAATGGGTCTTCTGCACGCACTTTTTTGTTTTCCTTGATGAGTTGAGAGCTAGATGGGGCTCAAAATTCCTTCATTGAGCCAAGGTCGAATGAAAAAATTCCTTCACTGAACCAGGGTCGAAATTGGATGAAGGAATCGAACGTGGTGTATGGTGCACGGCCCTGAATTATATATATCTTGTCAGACGCGGTACATTTATCAGGGCAGGACGGGGTTCGATTCCCCGCGTTCGAATATGTTAGCCGGCTTGACTTTTTCACCAACTGCATCGGGACTGTTGCAGAGCTAGGAATCGGACGTGGTATATGGTGCATAGCCCTGAATTATGAAAGGTCGCGAAAATTTATAGAGAGCAGGACGGGGTTCGACTCCCCGCGTTCGGATGTACTGTTTGCCTTTTCTTTTTTCCAAGCCCGCTAAGTCTATCCTATGAAAGGGAGGGTGTTCACAGAGATAGGAATCGGACGTGGTGTAAGGTGCACGGCCTTACCTGGTGCTTGAAGTCTTCATGTTCAAAGGCAGGACCGGGTTCGATTCCCCGTGTCCGAATTCATATCGCTGTTGGATCTTTTATCTGACCGCGCTAAATTCTTCCTACAAAACCCGGCGCATTTACAGAGCTAGTAATCGGACTTGGTTTACGGTGCACGGCCCTAACTTCTAGCAAACTAGGAAAATTCCTAGAGGGGTTCGACTCCCCGTGTTCGAATAGTTGCTGTCAGATTTTTTTTTCTGCCCAGCTCCATAAATCAATCCTACCAAAGCCGGGGCACTTACAGAGCTAGTACTCGGACGTGGTATACGGTGCACGGCCCTGAATATTGTGGGATTGGTGTGATCTTTCCTAGGGCAGGACGAGGTTTGACTCCCCGCGTCTGAATGCAGTCGTCCATAAGGCACTTTTTTGTCTAAACCCGTAAATCAATCGTATAAAAGGTGGGGAGTAAGGAATCGGACGTGGTGTATGGTGCAAAGCCCCGAATAATGCGTATATTGCCGTGACATTTCCTTGGGCAGAGGGGTTCGACTCCCCGCTTCCGAATAAGCTCTGAATCATCGATTTTTTGTATCCAACCCCTGGTAAATCAATCCTATAAAAGCTATGGTGTTTAGAGGGGAATAACTCGAACATGGTGTATGGTGCACGGCCCTGAATATTGTGGGGATTGATCTGATCTTTCCTAGGGCAGGACGGGTTCGACTCCCTGTGTTCGAATTGTCTAAAAGAATGATCCATTTTTTTTGGCTGCCCCTGCTGAATCAACCCTATAAATGGAGGGCTGTTCACAGGTGAAAAACTCGAATGTGGTGTACGGTGCACGGCCCTAAATTCTGCCGTATTCGGCTCGAGTGTGTAGGGCAGGACGGCTTCGACTCCCCGCATTCGAATCGTCAAGCGCTCTTTTTTCTCCCCCAACTACAACGAAATCAATTGTATAAAAGCTGGTGTGTTGGGTTTTGGGTAGGGAATAAATCGGACGTGGTGTATGGTGCACAGGCCTGAGTATTTGGAAACCGTGCATCATGTTCTTAGGGCAGGACGGGATTCGAATATTAGTCCGTGACAAACTGATTTTTTTCTATCCTAATAAAATCTATCCTATAAAAGCTGGGGCGTGTATAAGGGAATGACTCGAACGTGGTGTCCTATGCATGGCTCTAAATTCTACGGAGTGTAGAAGATTAGATCAAGGGCAGGAGGGGTTCGATTCCCCGTGTTCGAATTGACGATGTGGTTTTTTTCTATCCTTCTACTGAATCAATGGTATAAAAGCTGTGTGTACAAGCGAATAACTCGGACGTGGTGTTCGGTGCACGGCCCTAAACTCTAGGTCAGTTGCCATGAAAATTAATCAAGGGCAGGACGGGGTTCGACTCCCCGCGTTCGAATGAAGTCTGGGACGGCTGGATTTTTTTTCTAAGTTGTCCTTCCACTAGATCAATGCTCCAACAGACAGGGTGACCACAGGTGGATAGCTCGGACGTGGTGTATGGTGCACAGCCCTGAACTCTGGTGCAGTGACTTCTCATGGGGCAGGTGGGGTTCGATTCCCCGCGTTCGACTCATCCTTGAAAATCGATTTTTTTTCTGTCCTTCCACTAGATCAATGTTATAAAAGCTGATGTGTTTGCATAGTAAGGAATCGGACGTGGTGTAGGGTGCATCGCCCTGAATTCTTGTGGTACTGGAACAATCCACAGAGGGCAGGAGGGGTTCGACTCCCCGCGTTCGAACAGTTGAATTCTTTTTGTGTCCTTTTGCTAAACCAGTTCTATAAAAGCCGGAGCATAGAGTAGGAAATAAGTCGAACGTGGTGTACGGTGTACAGCCTTGATATATGTGAGTGTGATCGTGAAACTTCTGTAAGGGCAGGACGGCGTTCGACTCCCCGCGTTCGAATAAGTCTAGAGCTTGATTTTTTATCCTTCTATTGAATCAATGGTATAAAAGCTGGGCTGTGTACAGGCGAGTAAATCGGACGTGGTGTACGGTGCACGGCCCTGGATTGTTGAGGCACGCAACTCTTGGGGTAGGAAGGGGTTCGATTCCCCGTGTCCGAATAATTTCTTGATCGTTAGTTTTTTTTTGTACTGCACCGTGAATTATTCACGGTGAATCTCACCAGCGTAGTCCCATTTACCGCATCAACCACCATCCTGGCGACGCATTTCACCCCCCCCCCCCCCCCCCCCCCGCATCTCCCGAGTAAAAATCCGACGGCAATCACGGCCGCACGTGGCGCATCCACTCACTGACGATTTTCCTCCACGAAATCAATACCACTCTCCTTCCCACCACCACAAGGGGAGCCCGTTGTGTTATCCATCCATCAAAATCAACCCCCCCGGTAGGGTCGTGGGAAAGCTGTCAATCAAAGCTGACCCGACCGGGTCCCTCACGGGGTTGGAGGTCTACGTCTCAGCAAATTGTGATTAAAAACTCTATAGATGTGTGCCCACTTGCTCTAAACCATCCCTCAAATTTTTCTGGAATTTATCGGAGCATATGTAGGACAGACAAAGGTGAAGCAATCCTTAGGTAGAGCACTGCCACTGATTGACAGCTTTCCCAGGACCCTACCGGGGGGGTTGATTTTGATGGATAACACAACGGGCTCCTCTTGCACCACCACCACCTATCTCATATCCAAAAGCGCGCCCGCAATACGAAGTAAAGTAAAGATAAAGACAAGCGATTATGTCCCGCTTCATTTCCCTGTCCGCTATCTCCGGCCGTTGAGCCGCCTTCGTTCCACGCTATTTTCTGCGTTGCGTGCCGTGCGTCGACACAACGTCGGCTTGCCTTTTCTTCTTACTTTGCCGTGTGCATACCACACACCGTGACGAGCTCGGATGTCCTCGCTGACGAGCGCCCCCGCCGCCAGCGCCTCCGCCTCCCCCTCTGGTGCATCTCCCTTCCCTTCCCTTTCCCCTCCTCCCTCGTATATATACCCCCTCTGTATCGCTGACCATTTCCTTTTTTTTTGGTTGCAGGGATCAGCCTCCCGGGCCTCTCGTCCATCCTCGATCCCGGCGGCGACGACTCGACGTCCGACAGCCCACGAGCGCGAGCGCGCCGGCCCCAGCGCGAGTGCGGGTGGCGCCGGCGCCGGGGGCGGAAGCGCCAGTGCGAGCGACACGGGGAGCGCGAGCGCGAGTGCGAGTGTGCCGCCTCCGACGACCAGCGCGCCGCCGACTACGCTCACGAGCGCAAGCGTGACGGTGAGGCAGCCGACGTTTGTGTGCGTGCCTTTCTCTTTTCTCTTTTCTCCTTACTGCTTTTGCCGTCGTGTGCCACTCCATCTCCCTCTCGCTCTGGCTCTGGCTCTGCCTTTCTGCGGCGCCACGCCTCCGCCGCACCGCCGTCCGCCTCGACTCGGACTCGGCCTCAGTCCTTCGAACCATCGGGATACCGAACTGCAGGGGCGCTCGGGGCCGGCGGGGTGGTGTGGCGCAAAGTCGAGCCTCGCTCCTCGCTCCTCGCTCCGCGCTCCTTGCGCTGCCGGGCGCGCACGTCCACCGCGTCTTGCGCGCACGCCGGACGAGGCGCGATGTATGCGGGACGTGTGCCGTTGCGGGGTGTTGATATGCGTGCGCCTCGGTGCTGTGGCGGCCGTGCTCGTCGCGGTGTCGCGGTGGCGGCTCGGGTCCCTGTCGGCGCACTGAGCACGAGCACGCTTACCTCGCGTCGCGCTGGGAGGCGCGGCTTGCCTACTGGTGCTGAGGGCCGCGCCGCTTCGCCTTCGGGACCGCCCCGTTTGCGGCGTGCGGCGGGGAGCGAGTGCTTTGCGGCGCGTTGCGAGGAGTTCTTGGAGGCGAGACGGCGCTGTGGGGCTGGGGCTAGAGTGGTCGTGCGAGCAGTGTGCGGGCTGGTGGTCCCACCGACTCGGATGCGCATGTCTGCGGGTGGTGTGCGTCGCGCGTCTGCCCGCGGGGCAAAGGCGCGCCTGGGCTTTTTCCTTGTTGGTGTGGGGAGGTCGGTTCCTGTGGGTTTGCGCTGGGACAAGGTCGCGGGTGCGGCGGCCTGTGAGGAGGGGTTGGGGCGGGAAAGGAAGGGGCTCGAGGCGGGTGGGACTGCGTGCGGTCGGTGCCTTGCGCGGGCGTCGTCGTCCGCCGTCTGCAGTGTGTGGGTGCGGATGTCGCGGTGCGTCGTGCGCCCGAGGATGTGCGGCTGCGCGTCTCGGGGCCCTGGCGGTTGCGCGCTTCAGCAACCTCGGGCTGCAGAGGACCGCGCGCCTTCCCTCGTGCGGCGCGGGCTGCGGGGCGCGCGCCCGCGCCCCGCGCATGTCGTGCATCACCGCATGTCGTACCCCGCCGGGCGAGGCGCCTTTCCACCGCTTGCGGCGAGCTGTGGTTTTGCAGTTGGGACGCTCGCCTCTCACGGGTTTCTGCAAATTCCCTAAAGCGGGAGGGTCTCCGCGTGAAACCGGGTTTCTCATTAGATAATCCCGGGACGCCTTTCTGCTTTACATTATTGACAACTTACTGGCACTCGATGATATCCGTCGCTTTGATCGGGGACGAAGCACCCGCGCTTCTACACCGCCCTGCCCCTTCCAAACACAGGACCACAGGTTAAAGCTCCAACCATTTTGTTTCTGTTTGCGAAATTCCGCAAACCAAACGGAAATGATAAAAAATATGTTTAAACTGTTTATAAATGGTATGGTCAGGATAGCATTCTTGTACCTCTCTGAATAGATTCACTGCAGTGCTTGGGGCTACTCAATAGC